CTCCACGATTTCCTTGACTTGATATTAGCCTTATATGTGGTGAACTGCAACTGTCGCACTCAATGCTTTCTGCTGTGGTGCTGGGATGTTTTTGCATGAGCTGCCTTGGATTTATCACTTACCGCTGCAGCGTATTTACCACGTTACAGTAATGATGCTGAACGGTATGTGGTCATCCCGGTCAGCTATACTCGGAGAAGCGCGAGCACTGTCGCCTAAACCTACACCCGGGAAAAAGTGCCGGACGAGTTTTACGGGCGCAAGTCGTCCACTTCGTTGTGGGACCACGCGTCCCTTTAACTTCATTTGAATTAGGATACTTCAATAAGAGCGGTTTTTTTTGCGAGATTACCGCTCTTGTGCGTAATCATAGTTAATATTTTCGAGATCTGCTTCTGCTTCGAAAGGCTGATGAAAGTGGATACTGAGTTACCGGTTTCGTGCTTTGCTAAGTGCATACTGCTTTTGGCTGTGTGGTTGGGTTCCGGAGCTTCCGCATGAGTAAGAATGGCTCCAGCAGTCATGTATGTACTCGGGCTGTTCTCTTTCACCTGCAGAAGGGGATGGGAGAACACAAGAGTTATGATGTGGGCTACACTATACTGCGGTTGATTCGAAGCATAAACATCTGTTGATCAGATGACCAGTGACCCTAAGGGAGGTTATTCACGCCTTCGGCGCGAGCAGTGCTCTTGTTTCATTCAGCTGCCGTTTTAAAGAAACACCGGGTCGCTGTGGCTTTATTTTGCTGTTGTGGAAACTCGTCTTCCATTGCGGCTTATGAAGAACCTCTGCAGCGTGAATCTTGTCTAACAGAGAATCGGGGAGTTGGTTATCTCCTTGAATCAACAGTCCTTTCCCGTTTGAGATCGCGCTCTAAAACGGGACAGCCAGACGCGGGGACGTGAGTCAAAGTGTCTCAGAACACACTATGGTTCAACGATAAGGAATTTTCGGCCGCCGACACCTAACAAACGAGTTCTTATAACAGTGGGATATCTTCCTGCGCTGAAATCCAACGCTGTGCGGCAGAACTTCTGAAAAAGATGGCAGTCAAACGGGATGTGGTTCCTAAAATAGAGAAGATGCAATACTTGTGCTCAAGTTTCCGGTTGCACCTCAGGTTTCATGTGTTTCCTAATCGAAGCAGAAGCAGATCTCGAAAATATTGACTATGATTACGCACAAAAGCGATAATCTCGCAAAAAAAAACCGCTCTTGTTGAAGTAAACTACACTCTAGTTCGCTGCCGACGGTTGGGCGTGTCAGGCAGTATGAGTGTTCACACCGTCAAAGCCGTTCTCTGCCTTCTTGTTGAAGCGCGCATGCGACAAAAAGTGGTAGAAAACGAGTAATACGAACGATATGATACAGTCATATCATTTGCTCGCTTTAACAACTGGTGGAGAACGGGTTTGGCACCGCGCCAAACTCATCCCGCCTGACACGCCCAACCGTCCGCAGCGAACTACACTATAATTCTGAAGTTAAAGGGACGCGCGGCCCCACAACGAAGTGGACGACTTGCGCCCGTAAAACTCGTCCGGCATTTTTCCGGGTGTAGGTTTAGGCGACAGTAGCGCGAGCTTGGGGATGCAAGATCCTAAGTGGATCAGAGTCGTGGTACCGCGCACAAACCAGCATGCTTAGTACAAGGAGGTTGAGACTATTGGCACGTTGACGTAAAATTAAATAGGCAGCGTTCAGACTTCGCGACGACGCGGTGTAAGGTGACGCGCGACGATGCACCGTAACGAGCTGTAACACGCTAGAATTGCAACAGCCCCTCCAAAGACGCGAACGCAGCCGCATCGATCGGCGCCGCCTTCTTATCTACTGGGAGGGTATGGGACGTTGCTAAGTCACGCATCCAATATCGACTGGCACTTTTCACTAGGGCGGCGCCGAACGACTCCCGACTGCGGCTGCGTTCGCGTCTATAAGAATGAAGCACTGTTGCGCGGTGTGACGCGCGTCATCGCGAGTCTAAACGGTGCCTTGTGTGATGGTGATCTGCGCCCCCTCCCGTTTGTTCACAGTCTTACCTCAGAAATTCGGCAATCGACGAGTTTCTTTCCTGTTCGTGTTCGCGTTTATGTTTATTCAGCGGTTTTAGAGATGGGGTCGCACTCATCGGTTCTTCAAATTTGAAAACCAAGGAAATGACCTATTGATTGCCACGGTTTTCGAGATAGGACCCTGAAGTAAACGCTAAAGGACGTGAACTTCCTTGATTTCCCTGGTTTTACCCCATGCTGTCAGGTCTACCGTTTAACTAAGAATACTAGTACTATGGATTGGGTGCGACGCCGCGGCTCGGATTTGCTATACCCATTATCGTGCAGCTTCTTATTCGATTTAAATAGTCACACCGAGAAGATGTTGAAAGTGTCGAGAACAGTGGGCTGAGATAAAATCGGATAGCGTGGCGAAATTTTTCCCTGAGTTTTCCCCTCACGACGCCAAACCCCTTCACTCGTCTGTTATATAGACCACCGTTTTAAGTGACTTGTGCTGTTAGGAGGTACTTTGAATCAAAACTGAAATCCGATTATCTCAAGCGCACTAAAAGTGTCGAGCGAATCAGTATTAATATTCAAATCTTTTTGTGCATTCCGATCGTTCTTTCCTCTGAAAGTCATTTATAGGCTACTAGGGATCAGCATCACTGAGATGCTGTTACGAGGTCTACTGCCGGGAGTGCGACAGTGCATCGTAGCGATACGTCGTGAGTTCACTGCTACTCCGTCTCTTTCTGCGATTCCTTTTGTCATCGAAAATGAGGGACGGGGCGAACGTTCATATGACATCTACAGTCGACTGTTGCGAGACCGCATAGTATGTGTCATGACGCCGGTAAGTTTTCTAAATACTGTGAACACTAGCGTAATTCGAGCGTTTCGGTTCGTGCGGGTTTCAGTCACCTGAGCGATGTTCTGCTACAGTTAATTAGATTGACTAGGAAGTACGTGCTGTGAAAGTAATTTCACTTATTCTACACCTCTCCACATTCCACACGCCATTAAAGACTCATTCCACGATCTTGGTAGGGAGGATCCCTTCGCTGTGCAAGCAGTTTGATTCGCAATCTCAGAGGATGTTCAGCTTTATAGGCATGTCGATAACAGAGGGTACTGCGGTTGGTTTCAGGATATTTATCAACCGAATCCTTCCTTCCCTCTCCTCTTTCCTTACTTTCCTCCATTCAAAAGCCCCGGCAGAAGATGCGAAGAGAGAACATCTTTGCTCTATCGAGAGAACATCGGATTGACATAATCCCTGTAACCACTGCCGAACATTTGTCCAACAAACGCCACCCGAAGTTTGTAAGTTGATTAACCCATCTGGGAAAAGATACATGCACACGAACAGATATGACCAGTTACGTTCATTCTATTTATCTCTAACCAACCTTGTCGTCCACTCTCGTCTACCTGTTATCTCACCATTTTTCCTTGGTCTCAGACCTTCTTGCAGTGTTTGGCTTCTTCAAAAGCTCGTCAAATGATGGGTCTTTATTTAGAGTGTCTTGCTCGGTTTTTATACTTTTTGCTCGGCTGTCAAAGACAAACCGTACGCTCACCTCCGCGGATCGTGGCCCTTGCCATGTGTGGAGGAGATGGGGCCCCACAGCTTGCAGCGATGTGCCCTCTCCCGGCAAAAAGTGGCGCGCAAAACGTTGCTGGAGTGTAAGGTAACCATGCGTCGTCTACGTATCCGCCTTGCTCTCGCACGGCCCACCAGGGTGGTGTCTATTTGTTTGGGACGTGATCGGCCCACCACACGCCTTACCGCCTTACCATAGCCAAACACGCCGGTTGTCTGCGCTCTCTCCTTGTTGACCTCTGTCTCCTGACTCTGTGACTGCGTGTTCACTGGGGTTTTTAGCTCACCTGCACCTTGAGGGACACAGCGGTCGAAGTCGAGGCAAAGGACTTGAGACAAGGGAGGCTGTGCAACTGTGTCGTCAATGCTTTCCCGGCGCTGAACCTTAGAGGAAAAAGACCTCCTCAATGGTGAAAGGATGTAAGATGAGCAGACAAGGTTGCGCCACTGCGAGCTTCCCTCCTACTGCAGTAGCGCCTACTTTCTGCCATGTTTCCTTGATCTGATTGTTATCCCTGGTACAACAATGCCGTCTCTTCATTCACAGCAGTGTTGTGATTTGACCAGATTTCATTAGGGAACCAACGCAATACATTCCATCTCTAGGCTCGCCGTAGTTGTTTTTACTACCGCCAGATAACTTACAGTTTTCATGTGGACGACTTCGTTGCGTCTTCTGTGATTGCGCAGCTGCTATTCCTTCAAAGCGACAGTAGTAAGAAGCCAATCCACATGTACATTAATAGTCCAGGTGAGCTCACCACTGTAGACCGCAGTAGGTTTTACCACTTCTCGTAATGTCTAAACACAAGTAGGAGAGCAGTCATTTAGCAAAGACTATTTTCCTTCAGTTGGACATGACGCTTTCACATTTTTTAAGGTGGCAGTGTTACTGCAGGACTTGCTATATATGACACAATGCAAATGATCACTCCTCCTGTCGTTACGTGGTGTGTGGGCCAGGTTGGTTTACTACGACCGTTGTGTTTGCAGCAGTTGTTAGTCGTTTTTCAGGCGTCTAGTATGGGCTCATTACTTTTATGTGCGGGTGAGAAAGGAATGCGAACTGCATTACCGAATTCTCGGATAATGGTCCATCAACCTAGCGGAGGAGCGCAGGTTCGTTACACGTCTGAAAATAAGTTTCATTCTTACCAAGGTGATTACATCTTATATCGATATTAATCTTCCTCCACGTGCACGAAGCTCGCTCCGCAGTGATGGCTGTCGCACCCCTTCAGCGGCACAAAAGCAATTGACGAGGGCACCCGTGAAGTTGTTCATCTCCCAATCCATTTTTGTTTACCTCGTCTATCGCTCTACCCGCCACAATCACAAGACCCGCCGAAGAACGTGGGCAGAGACATTGTTGCCAATGAGAATTTAGCTGTGATCAAAGACGGTGACCATATCGGCTATAGCACCATTCGCTTGGTGATCTCATCCGATCACACCCTTTGCTCACCTTCTGCTCATACGAGTGCACTCGCTAGGGGGTTTTGTTCAAGCATTTTCCTGTGCACGGTAGACTTTCTTGGCATTGCTATTGGAGTCCAACTTCACAGAATGCATCATTGCAAGCTTTGCATTTAAGCTGCGTTTATACTTCTCAGCTCGACGGTTCAACGGTGCTCCACCGTTAATCGCTGGACCGTTGTAGTACCTTGCTCCTTCTTTATACCTCATATCGAAACTGTACATATTTTCCAAATTCCAATGACACAACTTGTCGTG